ATGTTGTTGCGAATCACCAACTCATTGAATTCGTTGGTGTATTGGTCCACCGTTCGCGTACCTTGTCTCAGATTTTGGTACCGTTGATAGAGCTCTCTCTTGTATCCCTTAGGTAGGAAATACTTTCGGATCTTGTCTTCCATCTTCCTCCACGAGGTAATTGGCGCTTTGCCAACAGATTGGCGAGTTTGCTTCTCACGCCTCCACCAAGCGATAGCTTTACCTCTGAATCGCATAGCGATGATCCCGACTCGGCGATCCTCCGGAACATTTCGATGCTTAAACACTTCATTAACAAGTGTTAGCCAGTCAACAATTTCTTTAGGAGAATCATTACCTGAGAATTCTGGGATATCCTTTTTAACTTCTTTTTCCCATTCCGGTTCACGAATGTTTTGCTCGTGACGTCGAACATTCCTCCGATTGCAAAATGGTCAAACATTCTCCGAAGATGAAGAGTCACCATTGGAATCTTCGGTCCTGGAACGAGGTGGTGAATTGTTTCTTTCCGCCCTTAGACACTCAACTTCCCGCGTCAACTCATCAATTTGTTGTTGCATATGTTGCTGCAAATTGTCAGCGAGCGTATGCACTTCATTCAGTGGGATGGTTCTGCCTCCACGATGTCTAGCTTGTCTTGACGGCATGGTTCTCACCTCCAAAGCTTTGATACCAAATGATGCAGCCTGGTGTAGGCTACTCGAATGTTAGGATCGGGAGAGTGACTTGCACACGTGGAACAGGACGAATAGTAATTACAGTCCTGCGCAAGTTCGGGAAAATGGATGTAACTTCGTCGATACAGATCAGAATGACCTGATTCCAAAGCCAAATGAACAAAGACTTCTGGATTAACAATTTCTCTGTTTTGAGTTTTCTCAAATAAGCACTATAGGAAGGACAAAATCGGGGTGGAAGTGGACGGATGTATATGGACAGAACAGAGGAAAAGATAGAACTTCGTTGGTTGCTCTTCCAGGCCTCCAAGGAAGTGGATAGGGCACCGATTCTTCTAGATCGATGACTGCAACTCTTCAAGGATGCAGATTTGAAAACCTCCAACTCTTCAAGGACGGAGTGAAAACTCTTCTAGGTTTTCAGGGGTATGAACTCTTCAAGGTTCAAGATAATTGCTTGATGCAAAATTTTCATTAATCAAATTCGTCTGCCGAATACATAAAGTAGATGGTCTTTTATAGCCAAAGAGAAACAAATGAAAAGACTCAAGCAAATGAAGAGACTAAAGAGCATTAAAGACCCTGAAGGCATAAAACATTAAAGAACTTAGAAACTAGAAACTAGATAAATGCCCAACGTCTTCTTGATCATTCCCAAAGTATCTTTTAGGCTTCCAATGTATAGGGAAAGACAAGGACTTTACTGTGGCATGGACTCGCGGATGAGACTCTTGGTCTTCGAATTGCGTCCCTTCGATATCTCCAAGACTGGTCGAGCGACTTGTTGAGCTCAGATGCGGGCTGATCTCCTTGGTCGAGTGAGCTCGTCTTTGATGCGGGCGGCATTATCAATCTGGCCTGCATCACTTCTACCCCAGAAAAGAAGGCAACATAGAAAAGCAAAGATGTCATAAAGAGAAGATAATTAACTTAACTTAACATTGTAACGTAAGGCCTTGAATTTCTACTTCTGCTTGATCATTTGTCGAGAATAGCCAAGTCCAAGTACCAACATATCTGCCATCATCGGCAGTTAATGCCACGAATATGGAGCCGCGCTAAGAAACCGAGCAAAGAGTACTCTGAAATGGATTTCAATGCAGAGATCAACGGTTCTGAAATTGTGATTAACTTTCCAAATTATGTAGGGATGAAAGCAGGCAAAAGTGTTCGACAAAAATCCAGCAGCCCGTCCCTGACGATCATCGGAGTCGGAACTGCCCTTTGCCAGTCGTTGCCGTTGCCGGTACTCACAGTTAAATGAAAGCGGCTACTATTTTGTGAAGCTCGTCATTGAGCATTTTAGAGACCGACTCTAGCCGCTGTCCTCAAAGAGATCTATTAGGGATGGCTATCCTGCCCCAAATATATAGTTACTTTGAACTTCTGTCCCCATCTACTTGTAATGAAGGGGCTGCTCTGAGAAAGTCCCATATAGGACCCGTTGTCCCCAAGCATTGTCGCCAAAACATTAAGTCCAGTTTCTGAACTTATCCCATGAGGTTGGAGTTGAAGGACGTTCCTAATCTCATTTTTGAAGCCACCAAAGTAACATTATTATGGTTTGGTCTTTTGGCTTCATACATCCCATGCCATTCCCGAGTGTATTCTTCAACAGACTAATGGGAGCGCGAAGCAAAGGTTTGATACCTTTACTCGGAGAGATTGCCAAAAGGGAGCTCAACTTCGAGCCCGTTAACATATCCAGTTGAACTCACATTCACTCAAAAGTTTAAGCCAATGAGTGACAAGTTAACTAGAATATATTAACTGCTCCACACAATACCAATTATCTAATTTGAGATTGTTCTAGCACAACTCACACGTGTAACTCAACAATATCCCTCTTGCGTGTGAGGTGTATGAGACGTGTGAGCTTAGTGTTAGGTTTGCTCCCCTTAATTCAAGTATCCGTCTGCATCAACTTATCTCAACTTGAATATCCAACGCCCACCTTTATCCATGGTCTCTTTCTCTACACCAAACCATAAAGTCTACCATTGAGACCGCGTTGCCACACCACATCGATCTAGAAGATGCGTTGATCATCAGATTCCTTCCTTGAGATACTTACCAAATACCATAACAGATTGGGAGCCCATAATTCACCATCAGCTCTGATACCAATTGTTGCGGAAACAGGCGATCCAACACTAATAAACAGGACAGGAAAATAGATCGGACACCAAATGTACGTGGTTCGGTCGGTGTGACCTACGTATATGGGGAGAGTAGTAAAGAATTACACTATAGATCAAGCGATACAACATAAATTATAACCACACTCGAGTCACTCAAATACTTTCAGTGTTTTTCAAGCCCCAATAACTCACACAGTATTTAGCCCAGCAATTTCTCATGAAATAATCTCTCAATCTCATGAAGGAATTCACAAATCTTATTGACAAGATTTAATTGGCTTCAACATTAAAATATCTTTAGGTGTAATTCATGAAGAAGTCACCTTTTTGATACACTTCACAAGAAGTCACGCTTCTTATGCATATACAAAAAATTAGTTCCAAAACAGGAGACCCATTCATACAAGGAAACCAATTTCAACTAGGAAACATATTCAAATTTAATTGGGAGCATGCACCAGAAGCCCGACTGAGGAAATTGCCAAGATGGAGCCCAAGTCCGAGCCCAATGTACATTCATTCAAAAGCTTGAGCTTATGAGTTATGAGCCAGCTGTGATATATTAACTGCTCCACACCACACCAATTACTTAATGTGAGACTTTTCTAACACAACTCACACGTGCAACTCAACTCAAACATTTCATGTCATTGAAGATTGTGATGTCTCAAGAATTAACTTGTCTTGGCAACAATGCTTGGGCAGAAACTTTTGCTTCAACTCTCCTCGCATTTTATCCCAAGCTGTTATCTTGCTTCGTCCTTCTTGTTCACGATCTTCACTTCAAGTTCTCCTCATCAAATTGGTGCATACTTCTTGAACTTGGCAGCAACTAATTCGACTCTCTCAGTGATACCTAACAGGGTCGCATGACCTCACACTAGATCTAGCTTGGGTTGTGCTACCCCAACCAGATTTGGCCCTCGTCGGGATTGTGCACCTCGACCAGATTTGACTTGGATTGCCCAACTCAAATTAGATTTAGCCGTTGCAGGGGTTCATGACACTTGTTAGGCATCGCCTAGGGTCCCTTGACCCCGGCGACGGCTTGGAAGAGCCTTGCAACCCTCGTCAGCACTGTCCTAGCAACATCCCCACGTCTTCTCTCTTTCTATCTCGCTTAGGGTTTGTTCTTTTTCATATAATTTTTTTCAAAATTTTGTCTATCAAAACCTAAAACTTACATCTAAACAGTGATTTATCCATTAAGCAATGATGCGACGCTCGCGTGTCAGTCCACGTCAACAATTTTGTTTTTATTTTAACAGAAGGACCAACTTGAACAAGAGAACACAAGGACCTAATTGCACAAAAAAATAATTCAGGAATCTTATTGAACAATTTGGAAATGGAGTCCTATGATGTCTATTTCTCAAATTAAAAAAAAAACATCACTCAATATAGTGAATAACGTTTCATACTAGTAGTATAAAAATAGGATAATTCGCCTATACATGGAATAATAAATTCAACTACTATATGAACGACCAACTATCAAGAAGGCTTGTTTAAAATTGGGCATAAGCCATCAAAAATCTTAAAGAATGCCCACTATGACACTTTTGCTAAACTTTTTTCTGTGACACTAAAAATCTCAAATTTGTACAAGTGTGACACATTTATCCTCCATCACAATTTTGAGAACCGTTAAAAATCTGTATATATTGACATTAGAAAGCAAACAATGTTGACATGACTCTCGTGTAATTTAAGTAAAATAAAACTGAAGTTGTTTTGGTTGAAAAGGCATCTAACGAAATATTGATGGAGGGTAAATGTGTCACATAGGTACAAGTTTAGGGTTTTTTATGATAAAAGAAAAATTTTAGGGTAAATATGTCATATTTGCTTAGTTTGAGATTTTTAATGTTACAAAAAAAGTTTAAGTTAAATGTGTCGTAGTGGGCATAGTTTGAGTTTTTTTCTCTTATAGCTTTTTTCCCTTTAAAATTCTTTCCATTTACTCTTTTAGTACTCGAAATAAGAGTCCATATTCATACATCAACTATATTGCCACTCAACTGGATACAATTTTAAAAAAATCAAGCAAATTTAAAGAACAGTAGGAACATATAAATTCAAGCTAACATGTAACATTTTATCATGAATCAGTCTACTTGAGCGAATTCTTCAACAAAGGCCTTGAGATTTTTATCCGAAGATCCACCTTCCTTGGATGCCATTTCTCGCTTTTGCCCCTTCGATAATGTTGCTATGCTTCCAAAGGCTACATAAATTAACGACGCTTCCTCCTTTGAATTCAACCATTTAATATAATCCTCAGAGCCCCGAAAGTGGTCTCCTCTAGAAGATTTATTAGAAGAATTATGATTTTGCACATTTAGGAAACGAATTGGGACAAGGGGCCCGATTCCGACCATATTCAGTGTACCGATCTCTCTTAATACCTCGAGTTCAAGCGCATCAAAGGTGTTCACAAGTACTACTTTTGGATTTCCCTCCTCTTTTAGCTGCTCGAATTGGCTTCGCAATTTGGAAGAGCCAAAGCATACTTGTTTTCAAGGTTGAAAAACAAGGGGACATCACGGTTGTTTAGTGACGGTAGGCCGGGCAACTGGATGAGCGACGTAGTATCACAGCTTTGGCTTGTAATGTTCTTAATGACATCCTCGTAGCCATTGAAGTAATAGTAGTATATGCTGAACATGGTAGCAGGTTGAATCCAAACGAGAACGGATTTGATTTGAAGGGAACGAGCAACATCGTCGACCCAAGGGATTATCGTGTGGAGCACGCATGTGAACCTGAGGCCTCGTCCAGAACTATGGTCGATGATGCCTCTAAGAGCTTCTGACCCCTGCCGCTTCATCTCGGCGTGGAAGCGCTCGGAGTCAGTCCCTGGCCTATGCCCGTCGTCATAGCCATTGGAGAACGTGGTGAAGGTTACACCTTCAAGGCGAACCGGATCGATCATGTGGCGGTGGGCAAACACGGTGGTGAGGAAAGTAACCTAACTGCCGATGCGGGCGAGGCGCTCAGCCAGCTGGAGGGCCAGGTTCATAGCACCGCGGTTCGGGAGCGCTACAAGGAGAAAGTGGGGAGGAATCATGATTTTAGGAGCTAGCTAGGGAAGTGCAACTGATGAGACTATGGAAGATTGTTATATAGAAAGACATGCCTTGTCTTCACCATCGAATGTATAACTTTTTATTTTTTCAGTGAACATTTAGTTTAAAGTTTGATATAATTTGATCTCGTTATGATAAATATTGTCCATCGTAAATTTGGCGGACGAATAATGCTCATATCGCAATTCAAGGACCCACATTCTCATCTTAATGGTATTTGAAAATTCAATCCTTTTTAATCAAACAACTTAAAAGCTTCTATGATAGGGAAGTGCAAACTATGTCAGACCACTTTTCTCCGTGGTGGAGTTAACTACTACTTTTCTCCTTTTCCACACTCTTAGTCATCACTTGCAAGTCAAATTCAAACATACGACTGCACATGGAATTGTCCATTCTACACTAGGACGAACGAAAGACGGACGAACCTTCTTCCCAGGAAAGAGAAACAACCAAAAAAAAGAAGAAGTAAAAAGGAAAACGAAATGATAAAGAGAAGCTAATTAACTTATGATTGTAACTTCAGGCCTTGAATTTCTACAAATGCCTGGTAATTTTCTGGCCTTGTTCATTTGTCAAGAATAGCCAAGTCCAAGTTTGATGTCATGAACATGTAGCCGCATTAAGAAACCAAGCAAAGAATACACGAAATGGATTTCGATGCAGAGATCATCGAATCTAAACGTGTGATTAACTTTCCAAATTGTGTAGAGAACAATAGCTTAGCTTGTTGGGGGTCCTTTTTGCAGGGATGCAAAACCGTTCCACGCAAATCCAATGGCCCCCGTCCCTGATGGTCATGAGAGTCAGAAGAGCCGGTCGCTAGTCATCGCCTGTGCTTGCCGTCAAATGAAACCGGCGACTGTTTTGTGAAGCTCATTGCTGAGCATTTTAGAGACTGACCCTAGCCGCTATCCTCAAAGAGATCTATTAGGGACTGTTACGTTTAGAGAATTGGAATGGATACATTTCTCATTAGGCACAAGGTCAATATATAGATAAAAGGAAGGGTATAAGCGTAAATACATACAACCCTAAAATATACAATATAACCTAATATATAAAATATATCTAATACCTCCCCCCCCCCCCTCCTTCAAACTCAAGGTGGGTCAACCAAAGAGAGTTTGGAAAGAAAAGTAGCAGAACGTTGTGATGTAAGAGATTTCGTGAATAAATCGGCAAGCTGAGCAGCAGAGGCTACAAAAGGGAGAGAAATGATGCGTGCCTGAAGCTGATGTCGCGTGATGTGGCAATCGATGTTGATGTGCTTGGTACGCTCATGAAAGACTGGATTTGTAGCAATGTGGATAGCACTCTTGTTGTCGCAGTGAAGAGGAATAGGAGCAGAGGAGGCAACACCCAGATCAGCAAGGAGACGACAAAGCCAAATAATCTCAACTGTTGTGTCGGCCATAGCACGATACTCAGACTTAGTAGAGGAGCGAGACAAGATAGGCTGCTTCTTGGCATGCCAAGAAATCAGAGAATCACCCAGAAAAACACAAAATTCAGCGATGGACTTGCGATTAGTAACATCCGCCGCCTAGTCATCATTAGAGTAAGCATGAAGAGCAAGTGAGGAAGTCGATGGGAGAAAAACAAAGCGTGTCATAGTACCACGAAGATATTGGAGAATCCGGAGTACAACAGCATAATGAATTATGCAAGGAGTCGCTACAAACTGACTGATAAGATGAACAACATAGGTGATATCAGGATGAGTGGTCATAAGATAGACAAGACTGCCAACAAGAGCCCGGTAGCGAGTGACATCAGACAGAGGCTCACCATCATCCAGACGAAGCTGTAAATGAAGTTCAACAAGAATAGCTGCGGTACGATTATCAGATAACTCATCCCGAGCGAGAATGTCAGTGATGTACTTCTGCTGGGAGAGAAGAATACCACGTCGACTACGAGCAACCTCAATACCGACAAAATAGCGTAAGAAACCCAGATCCTTCACAGCAAACTGACGGTGAAGATGTTGCTTAGTATAAGCAATATTAGTAGAGTCATCTCTAGTAATAATCATATCAGCAACATAGATAAGCAGAATAGTACAACTAGCAGGAGAAGTGTGAGTAAACATAGCATGATCATTTTCACTCTGAATAAAACCAGCTGACTGAACAACATGTGCAAAACGCTCAAACCAAGCTCGAGGAGCCTGTTTGAGACCATAAAGGGCTCGACGAACACAACATACTTGACCAGGAGAATGAGCAAGACCAGGAGGTGGTTGCATATAAAGTTCCTCCCGAATGGCCCCATAAAGAAAAGCATTCTTCACATCAAGCTAAAATAGAGACCAATTACGAACATAGGCTACTGCAAGAAGAGTGCGAACGGAAGTCATTTTGGCAACAGGAGCAAAGGTCTCCTCATAATCAACCCATACTCCTTATCAAAACCAAGTGCGACGAGACGCGCTTTATATCGCTCAATACTACCATCAGAGCGAGTCTTTATTTTGTAGATCTAGCGACAAGATATCAAGGACTTCCCTGGTTAAAGAGGCACAAGGTCCCATGTACCAGTGCGCTCAAGAGCAGACAACTCCTCAAACATAGCTTCACGCCACTCGGCATGACGTACTGCCATACGATAATGTGACATTCCTGCAAAGTGTGGACAGTAGCCATAAAAGAACCAAACTCATCATAACAACTCGTAGCTGCCACATACCTAGCCAAAGGACGGCGATCCAGCGGACGATTCCCTCGAGGGGACAATGGGTGAGAATCATCAAGAGGTGTTGGAGTGGTAGGTGAAGTAGACGAAGGAGGAGGCATAACAGGAGAATGTGGTGACACTGGGTTAGACAGAGAAGACATAAGAGGAAGATCATGAGGTGAATCAAGAGGAAAATCCATAAAAACAGTTGGAGATGATTGTGAAGAATTAGAAGAGGCGGAACAGAACGATAGGTGCTCAAAGAACTGAACACTCCTTTTATGTTCTGTGTTGTAGCCTAAGAAAGCACACCGAACTGACTTGACGGAGAGTTTGGTGTGCTCATGGGAAGAAAGAAGCACATAACACGTATAACCAAAAACACGAAGGTGGTGATAAGTGGGTGGTTTCGAGAAGAGACATTGGTGAGGGGTGGCTTTGGAGAGGACAAGAGAAGGAAGTCGATTTATGAGATAGACTGCAGTAGAGAGTGCTTCAGCCTAAAATTAAGAGGGAATAGAATTAGACAACAGAAGAGCACGGGTAGTGTCCAGAATATGACGGTGTTTTCCCTCAGCAAGACCATTTTGAGCAGGAACACCAGGATAAGACAACTGAGGTAGGGTTCCCTAAGAAGTTAAGAAAGAACGAAAAGCTGTAGAGAGATACTCCCCACTCGAATCAGAATGAAAGACTTTAATAGTTTTAGAGAATTGAGTAGAAATCATGGTTGTAAAATTTTTATAGACAGAGAGAAATTCATCACGAGAACGCATGAAATAAACCCAAGTATAACGAGAATTATCATTGATAAACGATACATAATACTTAAAACTACTTCTAGAAATGTGGGGGGCAGGACCCTAAACATCTAAATGTACTAAATCAAAATAGGCATTAGAAACAGAAGAGCTAACAGGAAAATGAGGTGCAAATTATTTAGCTAAAGGGCAACTAGTACAAGTAAGCATAACAGATGATGGAACAGGCCCAAGTACACCCTGCTAAAGCAGAAAAGAAAAACGAGATGTAGATATATGACCCAAACGCTAGTGCCAATGGTCAAGGTCGAGGATGGCAAGAACAGGTTGAGGTGAGGGAAGCTGAAGATGTCACATCATATACAATCCTCCATGTCTACTACCCCTGCCAATCGTCCGGCCACTCGTACAATCCTGCACAACATAAGAATTAGCGGTAAATGTCACAATACAACCCATATCAGCAAGTTGCCCAACAGATAAAAGATTAAGAGCTAAATTCGGTATATGCAACACATTAGGCACATAAAAACTGCAAGGGATAGTAAGGTGGCCATGCATAGTGGCAGTAAGAGAGGATCCATCAGCTGTAAAGAACCCTTCTAGATTTTTAAGTGCAGTCTATTGAGTGAGATGCTAAGCAGAGGTAGTCATGTGGTGAGCAGCACTAGAGTCAAGAATCCAGGAGGATTTATCACTTGAGGATTACGTAGTAGCTGCAATAGCAACAGAGCAAGATGCACCAAAAGAACCAAGATGAAGCTGAGCTAAACTAGAAAGCTGAGCCTCAATAACAACAAGACGATCATCTGAAGATGAGGATGAAGTGGCACGGTCCACGGATGGAGAAGGGGTAGGTGCAATTGAGCACAAGGATCCATCAGAAAGATCACGCAACTTCTAAAAACATCGATCTTTCATATGTCCATTTTGTTTACAGTAGTTACAAAAAGGACGTGAACCTCGCTGAGAAGAGTTACGCTGAGATGAGCGAAGTTGGAAACCACACTGGGAACCACGCTAAGAGGAACTGGACTGGAAAATAGGATGTGTGGTGGCAAGTACTGTAGAGGGATCTAGAGATGGAGGAGCACCAAGAATTCCTTGTCTAGTTTCCTCGACATGAAGTTCCTTAATTTCATCACAAAGAGATGGAGCGGGATAACGATAGAGAATCTGACTGCGAACTCCCTCAAAATCTGGTGAGAGTTGCATCAAGAATTTGTAAAGACTACACTTGTTCTGATCTTCAAGCTTAGATGCAACACAAGTAGTGCAACCAGCACATGTGGGACATGCTGGACGAGCCAACACATCAAGTTGAGACCAAAGAGACATCATGTTATAAACTTCTTCTGCCCATTTTCCATATCATCATTTCCTTCCGCCAATAACATACCACCATCATCCCGCGAGATTCCCTAATCTAAGTCACCTTTCAAAATTTTCCACGCCTCCACTTCACTCTCACCAGCACACCATCCTCATGCATGTATGCAGTCGGCCATCAAGCCACGTTGACTCACCCTAAGCCACTTCTTTCTTTTCTTCTCTTGC